CACCTTGTAGATAATTACATCACATCATCGCTATTAAGCCTCTGACATTTCCTTTATTCTTTAATATGAGTATAATGAAAGGCTAACATTAAATCCAACGTGCTTCTACCCAGCTGATAATCGACTAAATGGGTAATTATGATTTAACTGGGTGGCTATGAGTTCTGGGGGCTCGAGGGTGACCTGCACACTTGATGATTGTTCTTGTAAAAGGACATCCTGTGCTCTGCGGCTTGGCCTTCATTGAGCTGTCAGGAGCTGTGGGGGATGCAGTGCTGTCAGCCCGCCTGCCCACCTCCACCATCCATTGGATCGATCACGCCGCCGCCTCCTACAGAAACCCAACCACCACAGCTCCTCCAATTACTGCTGATGCGCCACATCCTTCTATCAGAATGGGCGTCAGAGTCATACGGCGCCTTTCAGAGCCAGGGACAGAAAGAGAGAATGGATGGAGAGGCAAGCTTGCAGTGGAAAAGAGAGAGGCAGAGAGGGAGAAAGAAAGAGTAAGAACGTGGTGACAAGCATGCGCAGCTGGTGAAACCTTCCGTGTTGAACTTTGCCAAGACGGATGCTGAACTTAGACCCGTGTGTGCATTATTAATACTGACCACTTACATGAGAATAAAGAAGCATTTACTCACCAACTGACATGCCTGAATTAATCATAGAGCCATACTCAAAGGCACGATGAATTCTCTTTCATGACAAACCTGGGCAATTTTCACTGAAATGACAGATGTCTTCAGAATGAAAAAAGGCCACCAGGTCTGTCATTATCTCTGGCATTATCTGATGCACCATCAAAGATTCAGCAGAGGTAGGGCTTTGTTTTTCTTTCTCAGCAGGGCATTTTCCACTCGCCAAAATTATTCTATAGCAGTGATAACACATACCTTAAAAGAAGAATATTACTATCACACACAGAGAGTAAAAGCGATGTATGAGAGGAGATAATCAGAAATGGGATTATTGTATGTCCTGGGAATTTCTGCAGTGGAGTCGAGCAAAGATCTGACCGTTGAAGGGTGCAAAGATACATATAAAAAGCAGTTTCTATAGTGAATTCTGCAGAAAAATAAGCATGTGGTTCTCCCTTCCCAGAGCACAGTAGTTACCTTTCTTGCCTTGGGCAAGTAAGCCTCTGTGTATACTGTACTGCATATTATTGTGGGTCCATATACTCTAACAGTGTTATTGTATGTGTGTGTGTTTTATACTGATGCCCTGCACATGGCTCCCGGTAGGTCCATCAGGTGGAAGCTGAATTAGAAAGGATTGTCCCTGCAGGGCTCTCACAGCTTCTCCTTCAGACCCTGTTAGATTATAAAATGTGTCAAAAACCGTGCAGCAGTACAGAAACATAAATCAAAACTCCACCCAGGAAGAAGTGTCTACAGTCATTTACTGTATACACTTTTTTATGTTGAGTGCATTTTGTAAGCAAGTTGGATTTCTTCCTGCAAGACAACCTCTGCATGAGGAAGCATCAGTTCCTGATGATGCATTTTTGTGTATATACAGCGTGTGCAAGTCCACCTCTATTCTGATTGGTTACATTGGCAGGGTGGAAGTCAATCAATACCGACACCATCAACATCAAGCCTGCTCTTTCTCTCTCTCTCTCTCTCTCTCTCTCTGCTCCCTCCATCCAATCCTCCGTCTTTATGTTTTGTCCCCGTCACTGTCAGATACAGACTGGCGTGGTCGCAGTGGTCAGCCCACGTTAGAGCCAGCACAGCCCTCCGCACAGTATGAGCTTGTCATTGAATGTACTCCCCCACACATACACTTGTGTGTTTAAGTGTTTGGTGTCTGGTCATAGAGTAGAACATGACAGAAAGATGGCAGTGGGCTGTCTGGACTTTGTGCTGTGACTCCATCGAGTCCTGAAGGAGTTTCCGATTGCACTGCAGATGTTTATGCATCACTCTTTTTCTGGATAAAAATAAATAAATCCAGAATCTGACATTTCTTACATTTTTTGCAATTATGATGTGATTTGTCAACATCAAAAGAAAGATGTTGCAATTGCCACATCACCATTACAAATTTAATTCATTATGATTACACTAAGGGGCAAACGTACTGTAAAATAATGAGTCCTTTAATGGTTTCCTTTTTTTATGTGATGAAATAGCATTGTTTGAAGAAGCCATTCAGAGCTGCTGTTAGATGTGATCTCCCTCTGGGAACAAGTAAAGACATTCAATGACCAATTCTTTCTTAGGAAAGTCTGAGTTAGGTTTTGACGTTTGAGTAAGTAACCTGTAGTAAGTAAGGAGTCTTGTTATAATATTGCCAATATATAAATGTTACAGCCTGTTTTGTTGTACAGTTGGCAGATAGGCAGTGTGGAGGTTTCTAAACAGATGTATCAGTTGCAAGAAACACCTAAAGGACTTTAATACCATCAGTATATCTTGAAAACTATCCTTTGCTCTCACCGTATCACACCTCCTATCAGCAGCCAATTTATATTCAGTGTAGTAACCATAGCTACGCATGGCACAAAAGACACATTTTGGGTTAGTGCCTGGTTTTTATCTCTGAGCTTTTAACCCCCGGTGAGCAGTGGCACAGCTTGAGATCCTCGGCCTCCTTTGGCTGCTCCACAGTCTAAGCTGACGATTATTGCAGTCTAAGCCTTTTCCATCAGTGTCCCTCAGCACTGTGGTGACCTACTGGGCAACTCTGTGTCCTTTAAAATATTTTTTGAAAGAACAGAAATTTAGTGACGTGGACTCTGGTGTGTTTGCATCATACTCTGTAGTCTGTATAGCTGTTTTTATTTTTTTAACGCAATCTTTTGTTGATTTTTAGTTTTTTCCCCATGATTTTATTCATATTCTATCTATTTAAATGTGTTACCATTATTGTATAAAGTTGCTATTATTGCTAAAGTTGTGGGCATGTAATAATGATACTACGAAAACAGCACTTGGACCTTGAGTCACTATAGGAGACCCACTTATACTAATCAGCTGTCTGGTGAACCACAACATGAAGCAGCGTTGGTTGTACATTGATATATTGTTCCCTGCCGTGCAGGAGGAGCAGGTTTGGACAGATCTTCAGTCTCTATCATGTCAAAACAGATTACAACATTGTGTGATGGAAGAGGAGGAGTGTGTGTATGTGTGTCTGCGTGTGATGGTAAAAAAATAAGCACTTATGCCTACAAGTCAGGCAGCTACTCAGAAGTACTGAATTTCTAGTTAATTAAAAGTTTCCACAAACTTACACTTCAACATTTGGAGATGCAGATATATTCTATTTCAAAGATTGATTTGAATATGATTTACATACATTTAAAATGCAACATTAGGACATAAAGTGACACTCAATATATCCCATTAAATCCTTTGACAACAGTTATTACTGTACTTGTAGTTGGTAAGACACAAAAGCTACTTATATTAGCTTACATATATTTCAATTCTAATTGAGTAACTGATAACGACAAAATATGAGGTTTTACTAATTTAGTTTAATTTGTTCACATGTAGTACACTCACAACACATTTATTCAATTTAAATGAACATCACTTAAGTATAAAGTACATACAGGTATGATGCATTATTTTGTTCCAAAACAATAAATCACAATGTTGTAAGCCTTTTCTTTAAGTACATTTACTAGATGTTAAATGTAGGTTAGCCTAGCTCAAATGCAAGTGATGCTTAACTCCTATTTTATCAGTCTGTCTTCATGTCTGAAGTATGCGTAAAGAAAACAGCTGTTTACAGAGATTTATGACAATAGGTGTTTCAGCTTTCAGCATTTAACTGCTGGACAAATTGTAGCGAAATGCATGATACATATCATAATGACAGACACAAATATAGTGCTTGCATGGGAAGCTAGAGAGTTGACCCTGCAGCTTGTTTTTTCCTCACTTAGCTGTGTCCTTGTTCCAAGCTTTTCTCTTTTGTTGTTATAATTTGGCACCACAGAGCATGTTTTAAATCCTGGGGCTCAAGTGGAGTATCTGTGAGTCAGCTGGATCTACAGAAGGGGGCATTCCCCATGGTTTTTAGATAATTACTTTCTTCCCTTATGACAACCCTATTGAATTTAGATTAGGCCAATAACAAACCTGCGACACTGCATGCCCTCTGCGTTGCCTCTTGTCAATAGGCTGTTAATGTGCCCAACCCTTGTCTCATTTTTCTTCGCGTGGCATCAGCTGGTCCCCTTCTACAACCACAGCGGCTGCCCACAGGCAAGTACAACCAAAACTGTGGCAGATGAGGCCGACAGAGGAAGTCTCATCAATAATGGAGAGCGGTAGCTGGGGGACTCGTGCAGAGGAATTGTGGTGGAGTGAGTGAGAAGTGCAGCTGGTGTGTTTGTCTCATTTCTTCCAAATGGACTTTTTGAAATGACGTTCCCCAGAGGGCATGCATGAGAAGAAGAAAGCTATTAATAGCTGATAGGCTGAATAAGTTGTCAAATTGCTGTTTAGATATGTGCTGGGCCAAATTTTAGCATTTATGGATGTTTTCCTTCTCCGTTCTGTCATCCTCTTCCCCAGAGAGTTGGACAGATATACTAATTAATAACACAGGAAAATATATAAAAAATGACTTTTTTTTAATCCAGGCCATAGGCGGTTGTCATATTGTATGAGGGAAATGTAAAATGCCAAAACTATTCAGCTGAAGTCAGCAACATGGGAGTAGTCCTAAAAGGCGCACCCTATGAAGGCAAAAACAAAAATCTCATCAATTTCCTGTCGGTCAAGCTGCGTGTAACTGTACTTCATCAGAGTCCTCAGAGGACTAGACACACATAATGATTATCTCTCCTGACAGCTGTCCAGATGCAAACAGAAATCCCGCCACTGAGGCACTGAGAATGACCCGGTGGCTGTTATAGTATGGCAGCGTCTCCTCCCAGCTGCCATCCTACTCATTCCCTTTCTTCAATGCCCCTCATTGTATTAGGAAGAGGAGGCCCATTCTTACTCACATCTCTCGTGCTCTTGTTTCTCCAGGGGCCAGCCCTGAGGACGTGAAACTGTTGGGAGAGTTTGGATGTCACCGGTGACATAGCTTCCACTGCGTCGGACCACCTTCAACTGCACACATCTCTACTCTCCAGACGGCACCAATTAAAGCAGGCTTGAGACAAAGAGTTGTGGCAGTATCCGACAACATCGACGCCAGGAGGAAAGGAATACACTGGAGGAGGGGGGTTTGCTTGCTGCAGACGGGCATAGGACTGCTTGTGAGTATCTCATTGTTCTCATTCTTGTGGGGGGAACACATTTCCATCCAACTGACCAGGATGATACTTCCCACCCCCTGCATTTGATGTTTTTTCCTGTACAGCAAATAAGAAGTTCATAACCAGACTTTTTTCATGCAAGAATAAATGCAAGGTATTGATGTCTTTGTTAGGAGCAGCATATTTCTATTGAGAGATCCAAATCTATGAGGATTCTTACTGTCTGATGACAGCCGGGCTGACCTTGACAATCCTTGTTCTTTCTTTTCATTGTCACTTATATGCCACATGAACAAACACACAGCTGCCTTATTTATTTATTTTTCTTCTACCAGGTAGCTAAATTTAAAACTCTCTGAGCATCAAACTCCATGGTTAAAGGCAAAAGGAGGATGCAGGTTATTATATATCCACCCACTGTCTTTCTGTCTCACTCTACCATGGCTGTCTTCCTGCTTTTTGTCTCGCTTCCCATCCAATAGATGTTCCATTTTCACCTGGAAATCCAGTAGAGGAATTAGGTGGACGAGAGAGGCAAAATGATCTGACAGATCCACTTACCTCTGCTGTCTAAGATCCCCCTGGCCTCTGATATTATTAGAGGTTGATATATATATGTAGGCATAGCACATGGGTGCAAAGGAGAGAAGGTTGGGAGGTGAATAAGCCAAGGAGGGGGGAGGTGTGAGAGCCGATGCTGCTGATGACAAAGCCGTGGAAATAATCTTAAGGTGTGGAGGCAGCAAATGATGAGATAGAGAGGTGGGGGAGAGAGAAAGAGCGAGAGGGGTTTGGCTGTTAAATCGCTTGTAGCCTCTGTTGTCTCCTCACTACGAAAGAAAATATCAAGATTTCTTATTGGCAAGCCAAGGGTGAGATGAAGCTAAACTTTATACTCTCATATTGTCTTTTGCCCGGTGCAAACAAACACGGCTGAAATAAGACACACACAGATCTATGGGACTTAAATAAACCACAGTGCCCTAGGATCACACTACTGGTCGATAGCAGTGCTTCATACTGCAACAAATATTAAAACTTCCATGCCTGATATGTAGATATATGTAGATATTCATTCTAAAAAAGAGATATCCACCAGATTCTCTGTTTGTGAAGTAAAAATGATACTTTTGTTAAAAGGCAGAAATATGTGCTTTGACAAACATTTTTTATGCCATCTTTTAGTTTTGTTTTTTACAAACATTCACAGTTTGCATTTACATTCACAAGCACCATCATCAGGTCTTAAATGACTGAAATCCTGCAAACATCCTGCAGACATCAGCTGTTGTTAGCATGCTAATATTGGATCTCCTCTACAGGGGCACTGTCTGCAACAATCAATGTGGACAAAGCAGTTTTCAGTTTAAACATTTATTTTGGCTAAATGTCACCATTGTACAACAAGCGCACATATTTTCTACTTACTTTTTTGCTCTTATGGCCTTTATAAATACGTTATAACCTTGGGTCGGTCAGTCCAAAAATGCACAATAATCAGAAAGGGTGGACAAATTAACAGCAATGCCTCATTGAGCTTCTGAAGCTTTTAATGTGTAGTTAAGTTTTAAATTTTGTAAACGCCTATTTTTGTTGAGACTGTTGCAAAGAGGCATGGATTCAACTCTGTCCTCAATTCGTTTGAGGACACAGTTTGTAATGTTATTTTATTGGGCTTTATTGCATTGCATTGGTCTTAATGCAATAGCCCCACACAGGCAGCCTCTCTTTACGTGGCTGCCAGGCAAACTGTTTGCTCACGTGTGGCTTTAACATGTGAGGAAACGCACAACATCTTTATGATCATCGTTTTATATACAGTCTCTCCACCAAGCTTTGAGAAAATAGCATATGTTATGTAATAATATAGATAGCACTCTCAACCCCTTTAATTGGTGTGAGCTGAATTAGCACTGACTAATCAACATAGCAGCCTCTCATCATAGATTTATAGACGGCCATGATTGCTGCCAGGGTGAAATTAACTCTTTCAGTCTGCAGGGAAATGTTGAAAGATGTCTGGCTGTAACATGCTCCCCCTCACGCACACAGGCACACACACAAACACACACACACACACACACACACACACACACTGATACGTATATGCAGATGAGACTTGTCTGTTCCTTCTGGCTGTCTCCGTAGAGCTGTCACACATGCTGCGTCTTGGAGCACCAGGAGACCGGGGTTGACTTGAATTAAACTGAGAGGATGTCCTTTCCAGATCTGCAGAGGGCCACAGAGACACATCCGCCCCCAGAGAGAGCCAGTCAAGAAGACAGAGGGAGAGAAAAAGAGAGAGAGAAATGAATGGAGGAAAAGAAGAAGGAGAAGGGAGGTTGGAGATGGGGTGGAGGGGTGGAGGAAGTTAATAAAAAAAGAGGCAGGGAGAAATTGTCTGTGTGAGAGAAAGGGATGGAAGATGAGGTGGAGAAAGAGGAGGACACTGGAATGAAAGGGAGGGAGGGAAGATCAAACTGTGTAGGTGTGTGTATGTGTGTGTGTGTGTGTGCGTGTGACAGAGAGAGAGGATGAGAGAGAAAGCCCACAGAAGCTAAGGCCACCAGACACACCTCCAATATAATTCCCTCTGTTCTGGCTGACTCTGGCTACACCACATACAGATACAGACGATACAGCATATTAAAAATTAAACTTGAATATCTACGTTATGTTATCAGATAAGTAAGATGTTCAGATCCTGTAATCTAATATCTACAGTGTGTTATCTATGGAGACCAAAACAAAGTTAAAAAATATCAAATAAATAAACACAACTGAATGCAGTATAATAATACAATTCATGGTGTGACCATGACATTTTGAAACCATCCAATAAAGTTTAAAAACTTAAATATTAATTTACGAATATTATAAAATGTTACTCCGAGTCTTTTATGTGATCGTGTGACCAAAGAAACAGTCACATACCTGCTCTGCCCTGTTGGTCTCTCTCTGGTCCCTGTTTGATTAACAGATAGACACTTCTTGGCATTATGAAATAAAACTGACATTGGGAGAAAATTGTGTTTTGAAATGAAATACTTTTGAAAAAAGAATCTTTTTAAAAATAAAAAGAGAAAATTAACTGGGAACTACTTTGATTCATCTCTAATAACATATCTGAGTCATTTGGTCATTGCGGCTTTTTAAATGTAACAGTATGCTGCTTTGTAGAAACTGTTTTTGTAGAAATTACTGTAAATGAAATATACCTTTGATGACAATTACATTGGGCTTTAACAAGGGTATTTTTCTATTTTATTGGCAGATTAATCAATTATATGAATAATTGTTGGTTGCAGCCCTACTGGAATTCAATAAAAATGGCCTGCAATAATCTTTGTTATTGTAAAAGGAAGCTGGGTAATATATGATTTTCTGACACGGAGAAAGAAGGACTGTAATTTTTTACAAATTTATGGGTATATAATTATAAACACATGACACAATTTCTGCTTATGGACTCCTCAGTTTCTAAGTATGAGTATTCTGGTAATAAACACTATCGTCAGCAATAGGTAATACAGCACCAGCTGCACATAGAAGAGAGAAAATTCAGTTGCTGTACTCTATGTTAGATGCCAAAAACAACAACACTGGGTGTACTTTATGTGTTAATCTGCCTCAGCCTTTATCACAGCTGCAGCATTGGGACTAATCTCCTAAACAGTGGCACATGATACCAGTGTCTAAAGAGCTAAGCATATACGGAACAGAGCAGTCTATGTTTAGAATAGATTACAGTAATGTATATCCTGACCTGAGGCTCCAGAGCAGAATTAGAATAGGCCATCATTTTCTATATCTCACCTCCAGGCATTGTTATTAACAGTAAGTGCATTTCCCATTCTGTTCTAGTGTCCTTTGTCTCTGCCTTGCCCTGGATGATAAACACGCCAGAGACCAAGGTTTTTGTAGAACAAGAAATTGGAACATAAATTATTTAGTGAGAATGTGCCGTCCCCCCCAAAAAAAAACATCCATTGTATTTTCTCCTTATGCCTGCAAACTCTGCAATCCTTGAACCTTCTGCCTAGATTTCAGCTTGGTGATAGGGTGAGCTTGCTGCTCTTAATACAGGGAAGACATTGCTCATCGTCACTCCACCAAATCTACTGTGAGCTCACTGCTGCATTTCTTCTGCCCTTTGTTGCACAAGCTCTTTGTTCTGTAATGACACAAACCAGCTATGCAGAAATTCCACAGGCCACGTTTTTTTTTTTTTCATTTCAATTTGAGGACATTAGCTGCTAAATCATTGTCAGATTAATGATGAAATTTCAAGCATGAGGTACAATCATTGTATGTGATTACTTACACATAGGGGAAATGAGCAGTTCAAAGATAATAACACACACATTTTGTGGTTTTAGGAAGCACTTAAATGCATCAATATTTACTTGGTTTTTTCCCACCTACAGTACAATTACATTTGTCCCCTTGGCAGTTTTCTGTAGCATCAATTATACAAGCTTGGCATTTACAAGCCAAGCGAGCATACAAATGGCTGACCTAAAAATTTGTGATGAAAAAGCAGCCACCATGAAAATTCTTTGTGAATTAGTTTTTTGTGCTTTTTAGGTTATCTTATATTTCACCAGTCCTTTCTAAATGGTTTTTAAACCTAGGCAGACCCCTTGAACTTGTAATTAAACCGCCCACTAATTGATAACTTCTGAAGAAATCCATGATTTCTTTTTAAGCATGCAAAACAGAAAATGTGTACAACAGTGTTATTTTAAATATTTCAAATTATAAGAACTGCTCAAAGTAGCCGACTGTGTGCAACACCAGCTTGCAAAAGCCTTGAACCGGGATGCAAAATATAGAGCATGTGTGCAGGGACACAGGTTTCTCAGACATGGATAATGTCGTATTGTAAGGTTAGAAGGAGTAAAAAGTGTTGTGCCATGATGCAACTGTTTGCAATTTCATTGTTATCATGAGAAATGTCTCTCAACGTTTCCCTCTTGAACAATGAATTATTTAGAGCA